TTTTCAGGTGCGGGATCTTGAATAGGTCCAATGGGAGTAATGAGTCCTTTGGCATGGAGTCGATCGAAGGCAGTATCGTAGCTCATCCCAATGGGGGTGAAGTCTTTCCTTAGTTGCTTCTTATATCCTTGGTTATCCATGGCTAAAACTTCACTGAGATCAAAGGTACTAACATTGTTACTAGAGTGGGCGTTTTCGGAAGAAGAAGGATTGTCGTTCTTCTTTCCTTTCCAGCCACCGTGGTTACTATTGTTAGTAGCTTTTTGCTTTGCAAGGTCATCTTCGATTTCAATTTCGATGTCATAAACGGCCTTGAAAGTATTCAAATTGTGTTGATATTTTAGGTGCTTCGAATACTTTTCTTGGAGATTCTTGATAAACATCCTCACAGATTCCTTTTCGGTGGGGACTTCAATCATCTTAGCGGAAGTTTCCCTCCATTTATTAAAGAAAGAAGTAAAGCCTTAATTTTCTTTTTGTCTTAGCATCTCAAGTTGTCTATGGTCGGTTTCAACTTGGATATTGCGCTTGTACCTATCAACGAAAGCGTTTACTATCGATTCCTAGGTAGAGGTTTTCTCCTTGTCAAGGGAGAAGAACCATTGTTGGCAAACGGTTTCAAGAGATAGTGGGAATAGAGAGGGGAAAACCTTCTTATAGATACCCTTAATGGTCATTATAGTTTCAAAAGCTCTTAGATGGAAGTAAGGGTTATCTGTTGCCTTGAATTTTGGGATGTCGTTGGCATTGAACTTCTGCGGAAGAAGATCTTTGTCCACCGAGACCCCTTGTGATGTAAGCTCTTGAAACTTGTAATCGCTAGACAACTTGCTTAGGCTCTCTTGCATGAGGTCCATCTGTTGTAGCTTCACGGGATCATCAACCTTGAGGGTGAGTAGCTTTAGTGTTTCAGTCATGGTAACCAATTGGTTCCTAAGCTCATTGACTTCTTCTTGAGTTGCCATTATCTTCTTAGCCTTCCTCTTTTGACGAATCGGTTTATCAAAAAGCGAGACTTGAATAAAGAGGTTGTCCTTGATTAATCGCCCTTCTCTCCTCGACCAAGTACTGTGAAAAGGAATTTGGGGATACTTATTGTTAATTATTTGACTCAAACTTTATTCAACATGCAATGGATGGAGGAGGTGAAGAAAGATGGAAGAATGTGAAGAAAGATTTAGATGGAGGTGGAGGGATATGAAGAATTAGGAGTAGAATGTACCCCAACTCAAATGACGGAAAAGACCGACTTATGCATGAACCTAAGACATGGCCATGGTGATGTGTACTCAAAGTGTGTGCTAAGACTAGTGAGTGTAGGTGACATGTTAAGACTCGTGTCATGACCATGTGGCTAGACTATGTGACCAAGCCTCGATTAATGACCTGACAAGGTGTTATTGACAGCGAAAATAACCAAATTAATTAGCAAACTGGTTAATTAGACATTAGGTGATGACTCGACAAATAATCCGAACTGTCGGCCAAGCGACAGGACTGGCGTCACAATATGGTGATTGGTGCCAGACTTTTTAGTAAATGTCTGGCGCTACACACCATACAGTGGCGCTACAGCTCAGATTTTGGCACCAATATTGGAGCCTCAGTCTGGGACTGTTTTCGGTATTATTAGTCAACTGGGGTATGCCTAAAGTCGTACTAGGTCGATTCCGATTAAAAGAAGAAAAAACTTTATTGACTCTAATTAATTAATTAATTAATTAGGCAAAGTTCTTTAAGTCATTAATTATAATCTCAACACAAATCAACAAACGGTTAAGAGGAACATAGAGTATATATGCACAACAAATAATGCACAATTAGTCAAGTAGGCACAATATGATGCAATGAGTTCGCAACCTAACCATGGCTCTAGTTCTCTTAAGTTCAGGATATGGTTTGGTCAAATAGGGTCCATGGTTAATTGTCCAGATGCACCGCGTAGAAGCCTAACCGTGAAGGGTTAACGCGTGTGGATAGGACACCGCGAGTTTTTAGAAAAAACTCGCTTCCATGGTTTGGTGAATTCAACCTCTCAGATGTACCCTTTGTTGCCAGGAGCGTTCAATCGGGTAGATAGAGCATGAATTCCCAGAGGGTTATGTCCATATGTAGAACACATATGGGTTTCAGAAAAGTGAGAAAAAAAATTCAATCAGGAAGTAGGATCGAGCAAACAATACGAAAAACCGATCGAAATTAGAACGCATATTTCTGGCTCGATATTGGGGGAAATTGGCGCCAGCAGACCGAGATTGGCGCCAACTTTTAACTGTAGCGCCTGGCGCCAATACTGGCGTCTGGCGCTACGGCTAAAAGTGTGGCGCCAAGCTCTGGCCCCTAACGCTACTTCCCACATGCCTCAGCAGCTTTCTGTGCTCAATAAAATCATCCAGTTTCTTGCGGTGTTATTTCAGTCCTAGTTGTGAAAGACATTTCTCAAATTTCCTACGTGTAAAAATCCTATGTTTTTGACTCATTACGGATGGTCTTTCCAATGAGAACCTTTTTATGCATATGACAATAATGTTAATCAAAATTACGCACATGAAATACTTAGGACTTTTCGAGTCTCATCCACTCATTCTAAATCATTGCCGAAACAAATTCAGGAATTAAAATAGAAATCCTCCCCAGTGGAGTCGCCAAAAACTATAGGGAATATTTTCAAGCCTTTAAAAATCCCACTAACTTGAACCCCACTGTGATCATACACTAAAGTACGGTGGCGTCCAAAAGGGAAGAAGATTGAGCAAAAGAGTCGCCAACAAGTTTTTAAGGAACTTGTAAACCGTTCATAGGATGAAGGTTACACCCCTTAACGATCCAAGAGATCGTCAACTCCATAAGATCATGAACCAAATAAGGGTTCGGGGATGATGGTACAAATCCAACCTAAAAGAGATTGAACCTGCCCTAATAATAGGCCTCTACTTTATTCTGCTCGTATTCATGTGCGCTTTCTGACTAACATGCAATCAATAGATTAACCCTAAACTTGTTTAATCTATGTTGGTTGAATTTAATGCACAAACAAACTATTATTGGCGATCACTTGAATTTATAATCACAATTAACCTAACAAGATTATTAATTATCTTATTAAGCGTGATTGCAAATACCAATTCCCTTTAAGCATGCAATAAAAGGTGATCAAGCAATAAAGAATAAATATCAAGCAACATAATAATAAATAATCAATATCATGAATAACAATAATATCAATCATAATCATAATCATGTTAAAGCATAGCAAGATCCTAGGCATGATACTAACAAGATTAATAACAAACCCTACCATGTCACTAAGCAATAAAAATCAAATCTTTAGCCCTAACATGATACTAACATGAATTAACATTAGGAAGAATATAGGAAGCATCATACTTTTAATCATACTTGATATTAAAGTTATCCTAGACATGATACTAGGAATCAAAATAACAATCTAAGCATGATATCTACATCATAATATCAATTAATCAATTAAGGCACTTACTTGGATGCCTCGTACCTCTTTCTAATAACAAAATACACACATTAGTAATTTCAAGGAAAATAATAAACAAAACAATTAAATTAAATAACTGAAATAGAGATTTGGGACCAAACCCTCAGAAATTAAAACCTTTCACGTCTAGGGCGAAGGCAACTTCGAATATGGCTAGGTGTTTCTAGAACTTGCGAATGCGGAATTTTGTATTAAAGCAAGAAAGAAAAGAAAGAAGAGAATGTTGATGAAAGTTAATGAAAAGAGATGAATGAAAAGGATTATTTGACTGTAGATAAATGCTAATTGGTGAATGATGAAGATAGTTGATGAAGACTTAAGAATAAAGAGAATTGGTGGATGATAGATGTAGATGATCCCTCAAAACGGAGTTTTTGATACGATATTTATAGAGAAAATCATCCAAAAAAGATAATTTATCAAAACAGAGTCTGAAGACCGCAAAAACAAATTGGCGCCAGGACCAGCGGCTAGCTCCAGACGCCAAGGGCTGGCGTCTGGCGCCAATCCTGATTCCAGGCGCCAAGGCCTGGGGTTGGACGCCAAATTGGATTTCAACGCGTTTTCGAAAATTTGATAAATTTCCGTACCGGAAGATAAAATAATATAATTTCAGTCGAAAATGCTATTCGATCTTGATTAAAACTCTGAAGAATCCTAATTGAATTAAGAATGATAAAAACCTTCTAGAATATTCTAGAAAATTAAAACCATTCCTAATTGCATTAGGAATGATAAATCATATTAGGCCCTCCCCTAGATCATTGGGCCGTACTTAAAGCTCAAACCGGGCCCAGTTTAGTAAATTGGCCATAAATTCCTCAATATTCATCGGAATAGGGCTTATAATATATCGTTGGAAAGGCCTTTGTAAGCCCCATCCAACTACACCACTATTGGACCCATATCATGGACCAACAAAACTGGATTGGCTGTTTTATTAAAATAAAGTTTTCAAAAACAGAGAGAAGAGAAAAGAATTAAAACTTTCCGCAACACTAGACCTTTCCACACTTTCGCTTCATTCGATTATGATTCGACGTGAAAGGTACTCATCACTGGGTTTGGTTTTGGGGAGACACAAATGGGTGTCTACAATATGATATGTATTCGTATTGTATGTATGTTATTGATTACTGTTTCCCAAATCCCTGAACCTTTTTCCTCTCTCTTCAAACTTTATCTGTCCGTCATCCACGTCGATCCCGCAATCTCACCGTCCGTTTCTACTGACGGAGTCTCGCCGTTTCAGGTAATCTATAACTTGTTTGACGATCTTTGTTGAATTATTGATTCGTTGTTCAAATTTAGGATTGTTTGATTTGTAGTTTATTTATTTTGATTAGAAGTCTTTTCATTTAAAAATTGAAATTGATTTATAAATTTTTTTCGTGTTTAATTGTACGTTTGATTTGTATAATTGTTCCGAATACAAATTATTTTGAGATGGATTTGATAATATGATGTTTAATAGTGAAATAAAAGATTGATGATTCCAGAAAACAAAGGTGAAGATGATTCAGCACTTGGTTACCCATTGAAATGGTATTGGGACCACTACAACCATGACCACGAGAAGGGTAGCCATAGCAACTGTTATGGGTAAAAATATGCAAGACTTAGTCAACGACAGTCAACGAAAGTCAGTGACGGAGACTCCCCTCGACGAAGCTATAAGCCCGACGAGGCATGAAGCATCGACAGAAGACTAAGTCAAGTAACAGCCTCCTATTTCTTAGGGAAAGGATAAGCTCAGATTTAGTCCAACTTCAGCCACTCCAATCTGTTGGGATTCAAAACAGAAGAAGAGTAACCCCCGCAACTAACATCCGAAAATCATGGGCACGATGTTATCCCCTTGCAACGGCTAGGATGAAACCTAGCAAATTATCTATATAAAGGACGAGGTAGCAACGAGTATATCCATCATCCAACAACATACATCATACACTTAACCTTGTAAACTGATATTATTCTTTGCATAGTGAAAGTTTGGTAGATCCTCATTCTTCCCGCGGTTTTTACCTTCATTGGGTTTTCCGCGTCACCAATTCCTTGTGTAATTTATTCTCTTTTTACTTTTGCCTTATATTTGATTTTGCTTAGTTGATCCGTAGCCTAGATTTTGATACTCAATCCCACTTAGCAAAAATTAGCATAAACAATTTGGCGCCCACCGTGGGGCTACAACTAGGTAAAATCCAAAAGGTTACTCGCCAAACTTTCAATATGTCAGCCGACGAAATGACCCAGAACAGCTAAAAGCTGCCTATGAGAAAGTTCAGGCCGATCTTGAAGCAGCTAGGGAATCTAATGAGCGTCTCAGCAAAGAAAAAGAAGCGTCAGACTCCGATGCAGCTGCTCTCCGCCAGCAGTTGGAATCCGCCCAAAGCAATCGTCGTCGCCGACCAAGGCAGTTAGGCTTGATTCCCAGAATGCCGTCTTTAGATGTCATTGAGTCCCCCCATGATACCAATACTGAATCCAGTGACGGAGAAATGAACTTGGACCCCCCTGTTAGGAATGCTGGGCAAGGGACCATTAGGACTTCAGGCGACGACCAAGGTAGCCCGCAGCCCGACCAGACGGAAATCCTGCTCCAGAGGCTGGTTGCCTTAGAAAAGCAGAACTCTAAGGTCCTGTCAATGATGAAAAAGATGCCCGGCGTGCCGATCCCCGTCCAGCGAGAAGCTCCAGATGGATTCGCAGCTACCCCTTTCTGCAACGAGTTGACCCTGGCACGAATTCCCAGAAGATTGTCGCTCCCGACGTTTACGTCGCTATATGAAGGAACGACCTGTCCAGAGCAGCATGTCGAGTACTACAAGCAGCGAATGTGGCAAGCTTCGATCCCGTTCGAGTGCTGGGAAGCATGCATGTGCAAGTCATTTGGTGCAACGTTGACTGGACCCGCCCTCAAATGGCTTGGCAAACTTGAACCAGGTAGTATAACTAGTTTTGCTATGTTAGTTAACAAATTCTATTCCCATTTTGAAAGTAGTAGGCAGTTCGACAAGCAGACGAGCGATCTGTATTGGATCGTCCAAGGTCCTAAGGAGACCATCAGAGCTTATTGGTCTTGGTTCAACAAAGAGAAAGTCTCAATCAAGAATGTCGACAATAGGACCGCCATTGAAGTCTTCCTCCGCGGACTGCATACGGACTCGGACCTGTATAAAGATATGATCAAATATCCATGCTCAACATTTGAAGAAGTTCGGACCAGAGCCGTGGCTCAAATGCGCTTTGACGAAGATATCGCCAATCGCAGCTCCTACCCAAGTTCCATAAGTTCGTCCGATCGAAAGGCCGCAAGCAACCCAAGAGGATCGTGGCGGCATCAGCCTTACGAGGCAACAGGTAGATCACGCTCTGTTAATGCTGTGCAGGTTGAAGATATCCTCGACGCCCCCCAATACCCCGAGATATTGAAGTATGGCTTTGACGTGAATATCGTAGCGGTAGTGAAAGAATTAGAGCCCTTGGGAAGAAAAGTGCGCTGGCCGTCAAAGAGCAACAAGCCAGAATCGGAGAAGGATATGAGAAAATGGTGCGAGTTCCATAGCGATCATGGCCATAAGACGGAAAACTTCTATGCCTTGCGAAGAGAGGTCGCCTTCCAGCTGAAGAGAGGCAACCTCAAGCATCTATTGGGGAAAAAGAAAAGCAATGACGCAGGTCGCCGTGAGCCAGAAAAGACAACGACAGCTAGACCTCCCAAGCCCCCTGTACCTAAGGTAATAGTTAATGTTATCACTGGTGGTTCCGATATTTGTGGACTAACCTACTCTGCAGCAAAAAGGATCGCAAAGTCGACGATAGATAATGCAGATGTCCCGGACGAGATCAGAGACCCCCTGGAAAAGAAGCTAGAAGCGATGACAATTACTTTCGATGATGACGACGTCAACAACATCAACAGAGAGCATGAAGACTCTTTGGTAATTTCTTTGGTCGTCGGGAATTGTCTGCTTCGAAGGGTGCTGGTCGACGGAGGAAGCTCCGCAAATGTCCTGTTCAGAAGGGCCATGGAAGACATGGGATTAAAAGATAGCGACATCACTAGAAGGTCGACAACTCTAGTCGGTTTCAGTGGAGAAAGCATGTCAACTCTCGGAGACATAACCCTTCCAACCTATGCAGGAGGCCTAAACCCTCAAACCAAATTCAACATCGTCGAATGCCCATCAGCCTATAATGCCATATTAGGACGACCCTGGATCCACCGATTGAAAGCCATTCCTTCCACCTACCATCAATCAATCAAATTTCCCACCCCGTGGGGAGTCCAAGAAATTAAAGGGGAACCCCGCGAAGCCAAACACTGCTACAAAACAACCCTTAAACCAACCATGAGAACCGCATAGCAATTACAGCATGGCCCGACACCAGACAGTCCCAACGACCTCGAAATTGACGAAATACCTTTAGACCCCGAAAAGCCTGATCAAACCGTCCATGTCGGAGCCAACTTAACACCTGAACTCAAAGACAGTATCTTAGCCTTTCTCCGAGAAATAAAGACTGTTTCGCCTGGTCTCATAAGGACATGACTGGTATAGATCCGAGCATCATCTTGCATAAGCTGAAAGTCGACCCAAATCATAAGCCCGTCAAACAGAAGCGTCGAAAGTTTGCTCTGGAAAGGAATAAAATCATCAACGAAGAAGTGCAGCAGTTGATCGACACAGGAAAAATAAGAGAAATCAAGTATCCAGATTAGCTCACAAATGTTGTTGTCATTAGTAAAAAGAATGGCAAGTGGAGAGTGTGCATCGATTTCACCGATCTCAATAAAGCATGCCCTAAGGATCCGTTCCCGCTCCCGCACATCGACGCCATGGTAGACGCAACGGCAGGTCACGAGCTCTTAACATTCATGGACGCCTACTCCGGATACAACCAGATCCTAATGCATCCCGACGATCAGGAGAAGACGGCCTTCATGACCGACAAAGGTATATATTGTTATAAAGTTATGCCATTTGGACTAAAAAATGCAGGTTCGACGTACCAAAAAGTCGTCAACAAGATGTTCAAGGACCAGCTAGGAGAGACGATGGAGGTCTACATCGACGATATGCTGGTGAAATCTAAGAAGTCGAAGGACCACGTCGATCACCCTAGACAGACCTTTGAGGTATTGCGAAGATATGCTTAACATTGTCGTCAGTGCTGTAGCCGTCAGCGCAGTCCTGACGAGAGAAGACGACGAAGCTGGGCAGCTTCCGGTTTACTATGTAAGTAAAACCTTACTCCCAGACGAGGTAAGATACACTTCCCTAGAAAAGTTAGCCCTCGCTTTAATCACTGCTGTTAAAAAGTTAAGGCACTATTTTGAAACCCGATGACTAATTATCCGCTTAAGTCTGTCTTGAGAAAACCAGATCTGACAGGACGTTTGGGTAAATGGAGCATCTCGTTGAGCACGATGGATATCGAATACCAACCCAGAAAAGTGATAAAATCCCAAGCTCTCACAGATTTTGTGGCTAACTTCAGCCCCGACTTACAGGTTATAGCCGACAAAGAGGTAGAAGAAATCAACAACGTCCAGAGCAAAAGTAAATGGATCCTGTTCGTCGACGACTCATCCAACCAACGAGGAGCTGGCCTGGGAATGGGGCTAAAGTCGCCACAAGGGGACATGATAGTAAGGTCTGTATCTTGTGATTTTAAAGCAACTAACAATGAAGCAGAATATGAAGCTTTGATTGTAGGAATGAACGTTGCTAAAGACCTAGGTGCAACAGCCCTGGATGTATGCAACGACTCCCTCCTCGTCGTCGGCCAAATAACAGGTGACTTCGCAGCAAAAGACTCCAAAATGTCAGCATACCTCGACATAGCCAAAGAAAAATCCAAACATTTTGATCCTTTTACCATCTCTCAAATCCCAAGAGACCAAAACGCCCAAGCCGACGCATTAGCAAACCTAGCCTCCGTCCTCAAAAAGACCACTTTCACAAATATCCCCTTAGTCCATTTGCAAAAACCGTCCGTATCCTTTAAGGAAATCCTACCAGTCGACGACGTTAACAATGACAACGACTGGACCAAACCTATCATAGACTATTGACCAAAGATATCCTACCCGATGACAAAGCAGAATCACGAAAACTAAAATACAAAGCCTCCCGATACCACATCATTGACGGAGTCCTATTCCACAAATCAGCATCGGGGTTATCCCAAAGATGCATCCAAAAGAAGGAAAAACAGTCCATCCTTAGCCACTTGCATGACGGAATATGCAGCAGTCATGTCGGAGAGAGAAAACTAGCAAAAATCGCGAAGCGACAAGGATATTTTTGGCCAACGCTTCATGAAGACGCAATATAATACGTGACCAAATGTGACAACTGTTAGCGGTTCGCCAATACCGTCCATAAGTCGTCGGAGCCCCTCCACCAGACATTATCTCCATGGCCCTTCATGAGGTGGGGAATGGACATCGTCGGGAAGCTACCCGCGGCGCCAGGACAAAGAATATATATGTTAGCACTAACCGACTATTTTTCTAAATGGATTGAAGCAGTTTCTTTGAAACAGGTGACGAACAAGGAAGTCATTACGTTCATATGGACTAACATTATATGCAGGTTTGGAATTCCGTCGGTGATCTTCTGTGACAACGGGTCACAGTTTATTAGCGACAAAACTCGTTTTTTTTTTTGCAAAAATTTTGCATAGAGTTGAGAACGTCGACACCAAGGTACCCACAAGCCAATGGACAAGCCGAGTCCAGCAACAAAGTCGTCATGGAAGCCATTAAGAAAAGGAAAAAAGCAGCAAAAGGCAAGTGGGCTGACGAGCTCCCATCAGTCCTATGGGCCAACCGGACGACGCCAAGAGAAGTGACGGGGCATACGCCCTTCTCCCTTGTCTATGGGTGCGAAGCTGTTCTACCAGTCGAGGCTGACTTCCCAACATCGAGGTTCGGTCTCATGACGGAGGAGAGAAATCAAGAGGAAATGGAAGATAACTTAGATGCAGTTGAAGAACTAAGAGAAACAACGCTAATTAGAATGGCGGCACAACAACAAATCGTCGCTAGAAGCTTCAACAAAAACGTCAAAGCCAAAACATTTCAATTGGGAGACTGGGTACTAAGGAAAGCATTCCAGAATACAAAGAATCCGGCCGACGGAAAGCTTGCCCCCCCATGGGAAGGACCATATGAAATTACCCAAGTCATTGGCAACGGTGCCTATCCATTAACCGACCAGCAAGGTAACCCCGTTCCACGAAGTTGGAACGCAACCCATCTCAGAAAATACTACTTTTAAACAGACAGTCGAAAACGTTCATCGACAAAACGATAACGCTCTTAACAAAACACTCTGCTTACTTTATTCGTTTAAAGTTTTTATTTATGACTAAGCATACTGACTTAAGCATCGGAGGGTCGTTGGCACAACGGTGCTTTAACCATGTCTGTTTTGTAGAACAATCGATCGACGAGACATCCCACTAAGAAAAAGAAAAACACGGCTTTATCACCAGCAGTAGAAAACAGACGACGACGGACGTCAGCTACACTAGCGTCCCTTAAAAGACGAGCAAAGCTGTCGTACAACCGACAATCGAAAGCATGACGAAGCCCAGGGCAACACTTGACCTTAGCGTCTGATGCCAAACACCCGATACCTGAGCCACGAACCAGTCTTCAGGGTTCAGCGTCGACGTTGGGACGCAAGGGGCATTGGCAAACAATGCAATGATAGGCCTAAAATCACAAAGTCTTCGACGAAGCATACTGTGTAGCTACACATCTGTATTTAAAAACGTCAACTATCATTTAAACATGTTATCTTAAAAAGTTAATAAAAAAATTTTCGAAGTTTTTTGGAATTTAATAATCTTATTTGTTGACTTATCATTTTTAGTAAACAGATTTTAATTGCTTTTTGCCTTACGTACACAGATAACAACTTGAGCAAGAGCAAAGAAATACTTAGCATATAAAATGAAAGCGAATTGTCAAAAGAACCACTTGCCCTCAAGTGGAACAAAAGATACAAGTTACCAAATCAAAATACAAGTTCTTGAAGCAAAAGTAAAAGACCGTTTAAAAGCATACAAAGCAAAAGTTTAAACCGTCACAAACGACGGCCTTCAAACGTCGGCCCCATCAGCAGGGAGCCCATCGACGACCTCCTTGACGACCTCATTAGCTCGAACATTGTCATCGACAACTTCAACCCGCGGCTCCTCAGCACCGTCGACGGATTGGTCGACAACAGTAGTAGGCTGATCTTCAACAACAAACGGCTGGTCGTCAGCGATCACAGGCTGATCCTCGACGACGAAAGACTGGACATCGGCTACAGCAACAGACGAAGAAATAGTGACGGAAGGACCAGGACCTGAATCCGCGGTCGACGCCGCTGCAGCGTCCTCTTCCAACTCGTCAAGCGTCCCGCCGTTAACAAGGAAACGGTCGATTACCTCTTGAGGACGCCATTTTGAAGCCATTCCATCCAAAAACTGTTTCATCAGCTTCGCCCTCACCTTTATATCTAGCTCGGCATAGTCATCCAGCGCATTATCCAATTCTTTCTGGGTCGATGCCAACTCATCCTGAACCTTCGATAAAGCCTCATCCTTGGCAGCAATAACCCTCACCTTATCTTCCAAATGCTTAGCTTGTTCCTTCCTGATCTTGAGCATCTGAGACTCCTCCTCCATCGTCTTCGATTGAACCTGTAGACGCCTCTCTAGATCGTCCACCTTCTTCTTTGCCTTGTCCAAATCCTTCTTCGTCATCTGGAATACATTAACCGCAGTCTTGCGCAGAGCCTCACTGGCAGCACCGTCCAGCCTTTGCATCTCCTTAGCCAGCCCAATCACCCTGTCCCTCAACACCAGAGAGTTTTGCAAGCACTGGCCAAACACATCCCCCAATTATAAACCTCGAAATTAACACTTGACGAGTAAAAACGAAGCCAAAGTAAAGACTTACGTATAAGTGAACCGATGTAGCTTCAGAGGCTATGTCCAGGACGGACAATCCGGCCAAAATCTCCCTGAACTTAGGAAACAGCAGTTGATTCAGGGCGGGAAACAAAGAGTGTTGATCATCCCTGCGACAATCCAGGAAGTTGGCAGGAAAACGCATCAAGATATCGGGAACCGGGGGCTCGTCGTCAGTTTTCTGCTGTTTACGCGGAGGAGTCGCCGACAGCGTGATAGTCCCCGACTCATCGACTGTCCTCTCAGGTGGTGGAGTCAAGACAGGCTCCACCTTCTCGACCGCAGGCGCCGGCTGTTGTTCTCGAGACGCCAATCCTCGCTTCCTCCTTATTCGCAAATCAGCCTCTTGCTGAGTCAAGCTTCGACCTCGACGAACGCCTTGAGCGGCCGACTCTGAAAAAGCATTAGATACTGTTAACTATAAAGCAACGACACAATGACAACACAACGAAAATCACTTGACGTTAAATAAAAACTTACAAGTTGACATTGTCTCTTCGGAATCTTCTACTTGTTTTGGTGTCCTCACTGGAGTGCTCTGTTCCTGCCCCGCTTGATCGCCCGTCGGCTTCTTCTTTCGCACAAATGTTCTTGCTGAAGGGTTGATGGCAAGGAATTCTTTCACCTTCGACGAAGAAGTCTCCGACGATTCAAGAAAGCCCAATTCCAACTCTACATTATGGGGGAAAAGATCAAACCATTTCAGCCAAAATCAAGTTATAAGAACAAGAATGCCATAGAAATACTCACCCTTCGTCAGCCATCCTTCCGTCAACCATAACCCGTCGTTACCCAACGACACCCTTTTAACAAATAAGAACCACTTCTTCCAACCCCTGTCATTCACATCAGTATTCAAAACCAACTGATCTCCTTTTTTGCACAGACTGACGAAACCACTTTCCGCCATCTTTATCTCATACCCTGCCGCCAAATCTTCCAAAGTAAAGGGATTCTCCCAATCTTTGGTCAATTCTACTATCACTGATAAAATTCTCCAACCAGAAGGCATCAGCTGGCCAGGACTAATGCCTAGAACTTCAAAGAAAGAACGAACCAGGGGCGGGAAAGGGAATTTAATCGTCGTTTCCGCAAAAGGATATCTAAAGAAAACAGCGAAATCTTCAGGACAGCCCGCCACCGTCTGGCCGGGCCCCAGAATATAGGCAAAGGTAGTACCGGGAAAGCCCGCCATCTTGACGAAATCACTCATCATGTTTGGAGCCATCAACGACTTAGACTGAGACTTTGAATTCTGCTGTGAAACAATTGTTCCTCTTTTTTCAACAACGCGAAGAGAAAACCTAATTCTAATTTTTGGAATTTTGTTCGACATCGTGCTTAAAATTGATTAATGCAAAGGGAAGTAGAGTAGATTACCTGGTAATTGAAGATGCCGAGAAGTTTGAAATCGCCGCCGCACGCTGCCACCAAACCACCGGAAAAACCTCGCAAGGAAGAGAGGAATTGGAGAGAAGAAAGTAGAATAAGGTAGAAGTTTGGGGAAGCGCGAAGCGTGTTGCAGTTAATAAAGAGTGAAATGACGGTTAGAATAAAGGAGTGTGAGAAGTGGAGTAACTGCTCTGAAGGACGTGCGTGGTAAAGGACGGAAATGCCCTCCAGATAATTTGAAATTTTTTCGGTTATTTGATTTGTGTTTATTTTAATCATTTTTATTTTGTCTTGCATTTTTATTTTTTAAGTAATTGCCAAAAGTGTATAGTCGTCCACGTTTTAGCAATTAGGGGAAAATTGTTATGGGTAAAAATATGCAAGACTTAGTCAACGACAGTCAACGAAAGTCAGTGACGGAGACTCCCCTCGATGAAGCTATAAGCCCGACGAGGCATGAAGCATCGACAGAAGACTAAGTCAAGTAACGGCCTCCTATTTCTTAGGGAAAGGATAAGCTCAGATTTAGTACAACTTCAGCCACTCCAATCTGTTGGGATTCAAAACAGAAGAAGAGTAACCCCCGCAACTAACATCCGAAAATCATGGGCACGATGTTATCCCCTTGCAACGGCTAGGATGTAACCTAGAAAATCATCTATATAAAGGACGAGGTAGCAACGAGTATATCCATCATCCAACAACATACATCATACACTTGACCTTGTAAACTGATATTATTCTTTGCATAGTGAAAGTTTGGTAGATCCTCATTCTACCCGCGGTTTTTACCTTCATTGGGTTATCCGCGTCACCAATTCCTTGTGTCATTTATTCTCTTTTTACTTTTTCCTTATATTTGATTTTGCTTAGTTGATCCGTAGCCTAGATTTTGATACTCAATCCCACTTAGCAAAAATTAGCATAAACAGCAACAACAGCGATGATAACAATAACTACTGCAACATCAACAACAATGGCTACTGCAACAACGAGGACGACGATAACAACAACAGTGACCAAAATTATTGCAGCATACAAAATTGGTTATGTACAATGTTATTGGGATTTTCCTTGTGTTTTTATATGTATCTCTTAGTCTTTTCCCCATATAATTTCGATCCAAAGTTGCGGGTGGATTCTTTAGAGGTGACTTCTATGAAATTAAGTAATCTCAGTGTTGGACTTGGAGGTGATAAACACATAACAGCCGACTTGGATGTTACCTTTAAATTGAATAACAATGTTGGAGCCTTAGTATATTTTAACATAATGCTAGTGTCACTGGAGTATCACCACGACCACGACCACTTCGGGTTCCTCCCCTCAACGACACTCGAACCGTTTCTTTTAGATCAAGGCCAAGGACAATTGAAATTTCTTATGCAGATTAAAGAGGATGATTCTCGACTTTTAAACAAAACTGTGGATTCAATCTATCATGATCTATGGGGTCAAAATGTTATACACTTTGCCCTAAAGGCTCGGAGTCGCTATAATTTTATCAAGACTGTTACTGAAAGCTGCGACTTCAAAGTCATGTGTGACGACATTAGTGTTATGTTTTCACCTGCTAATAATTTCACCTCTGGGAGGATGATTGATGCTCCACTCTCATGCAAATGCAACTCTAAGTGTTTACATGTTAAGAATAATCAGCATGCATCTGTATAAGGTGTGTAGAGTCTGTAGACTAGTACTATGTATTTCAGCTTATTTATTTTGAATTAGAATAGCTATTTTAGTTTCTTTTAAAAGAAAAAAAAATGTTATAGTGGTAATTAATCATACTGTAGTTTTCAGCTTAATTTCATACCAAGTAAATTACCATTATTACGAGTATTTAATTTTTCTTGTTTTACAATTTGAGTTCTTAGGCCCTATTCTCTTCCGTTTAATTTCACTTCAATTGAGTTCCTAATTTCCTTCTCTCATAACAACAAGCCCTTAGTTTTATTAATATTGATAATACTAGAGTAGCTAACGCGCGCACCATATATAGCTAGTCATATCCGAAATCTCTTTTAATTTGGCTTTACATCACATATTTACTTATTAGCAGCATAGTGAGATAAAATATATAAACAAATATATTTAGGGGTATAAATGTCCACGTACTATTGTTAAAAATTCCAAAAAAAAAACATTATTATAATTAATAAGGGAAAATAAGTAAAAACATTTTAGATGTAATAATTGTTCACACACTATTCATTAAAAAACACTTGTACACATTTATGGGGGTATGTATGCTACTCATAAGAGTAATCTTGTACTTTTTATAAGGTAGGGATTTTCCTCACTTTCCTCTTTCTAGTTTATGGCAGTGTAATTTTTTTGTGCGGTCTCGTAATAGCTCACTGGTCTAGGCGTCTAGCTCCATTGTACCAAAATGTATCAGGCCCAAACTGTTCGGAAGATTCCCACGTGTTACGCATACGTTCGCCAGATGCTCGAGAGTTGTAACCACAGGCGAAACTAATGTAGGACCTCACCCGGGAACAAGTTGTATCCTTTAAAACATTTTGACTACTTCCTTTCCTGGACTCTTCCTTTTCAGAGACCTTATTGTTCACCTCCGCTCGGTCAACCGTTTTTAGAATTGCTACCTTTTTCTTACTGATTATCCCTAAACCTAATGTGAGTTTTTCGAGGAATTGACCCTTACAAGTTGACCTTCGATAACCTTTCTAGATGGAGGAGCCCTAATCCTTAGGCTGGGGTAAGGGGGACATCTCCATAGTTGTGACTAGGGGTGAGCAAAAATTCCGGGTATCCCAAATTGGAACTGGAACCGGTTAGAAACCGGCGGGTCCGGAGCCGGAATTAGACCCGGTGGTTCCAATTCCGAGTAATACATTAAGGACCCGGTTATAACCAATTCCAATTTCAATTCTCAACCTTTTAGAACCGGAACCGGTTGGGTACTCGGTATATGCTAAACTAAATAAGTTTTAAATAATAAAAATAAGTTTTAGAACCGGAACCGGTTGGGTACCTCAACCACAAACCACTAAACACCCTTCAAAAACATCTGCACCTAAAGACATTGCTGGACTTTCCTTATAAAGTACAGAATGCGAATTTCTTTTAAAAAAAAAATAATTACAAAATACATAAATCTCAAAAAAAGTTCATAAATAATGTATCACTTGTTCAAAATTATAATTAAGATGTTCATAAATCCAAAAGTATATGTTTGTAAAAATATATATTTATAGGAAACGTGTACTACGTTCATATTTTTAACTAAAAATGTTCAAAATACCAAAATATAACCAAAAACAGAATTGTTCATAATAGAATACACAAATTCACTAAAAAATCAAAATAATATGAAAACTACATATTTCGAAGCTCAAACCTAGCCATAGTGATTTAGATAAAGGAATCTCATCGGAAAATAATCATCTCCGTCGTCTTAACCACCTCTTCCTCGTCTAATCCGCCATTTTTAACTTCTCTTCATTGGAAAAACTCCATTAACAAAGCTTCAAATTGAAGGTTGAAGAAAACAAACTTTTAATTAATGTATAGTGATTAACAATGGTGATGAAGGAGTTAAATCAAAAACAAAATACTGAATGAATTTAGGAAAAAAGAAAAATTGAGGAGAGAGAAATAAAAAATTAGGAATTGTCCGAGGAAAAGATGAAGGATCTCAATCTATGGTAAACAATAATGATGATGAAGAAATTAAATCAAAAACAAAATTATGAATGAATTTAAGAAAGAGAAAATTAGTTTAAAGAGAAGAAAGAGGAGAGAGAAATCAGAAATGTAGAAAGTGTGAGAGGAGAGGAAGAAATGAGAGAGAGAAAATGATGGGGATAGAAAATAATGTTGGTATTGTGCTAACAAATTGTAAAACACGTGGCCTCTTATTAATGGTGGTGTGCATATTAAAATTTGCCAAAGATATTGGTAGTCAAAATAAATCACTCATGGGTTAATTATATAGGTGATCAAGTTGAGCCCAACCAGATTTTGGGCGGGCTTTGGACTACTTTTCACCAGGGGTGAGCATGGGACGAGTACCCGTACCATTAGTACTAACGGTTCGGGTACCCGATAACCAAAATCACTAAAAGTGATACCCATAACCGGAATCGATAAGTTCGGGTACCCGAATTTTCGGATCGGTATCGGGTACCGAATAAGATATCCAATAATGATAATTAAACTTAATTATGTAGTTATTATGATATAATTTACAACTAATTAACAAAAATACCATATGATCTTGGCCAAATTATTAATAATATTACTAATCATTGATATTATAAAGTGATTATGAATTAAAGTAAAAGTTTAGATTTATATTAATACTTGTAGATTTAAGTAGGGAAAAAAGCAAAATAAAAAAAGGCTTATCGGATCGGATTGGGTAACCGTTAATTTTAAAATTATACCCATAACCATACCCGATAACAAATTATCGGAACGGATACCCGAACCGTTATGGTTATCGGATCGGGTACCCTAATTTTCGGAACAGTTACGGATCGGTTTTTTGGTTAGTTTTGCTCAGCCCTACTTTTCACGGCCCGAAATCGGGTCGGGCCCAACCCGACTCAATTTTTAAAAAATTTTGGGCGGGCTTGGAAAATCAATTTATGCAATTTTAGTTGATTTTTTTTACCCGGCCCAAGAAGCCCGCATGGCCCGCCTTATTTGGACGGATTTGGGCACACATTTTTCGATCCAAAATTTGGCCCAGCCCGATCCGATAAATGGGCAAATTTTAGCCTGATCCGTCCATTGATCACCTTTAGTTAAATAAAGGAAAATGTTATACATAGCCCTTAGGGCTACATATAAGCATTAAATTTACACTTGAAAATCATAAAAAGTTAAAAAATGATCAAAATATAAACACTAATAACACTGATTTACAAGTATTTTTGTCATGAATTCCTAATTATACAATTTCCAAGAGTATATTTAATGCTTATATATATCCCTTAGGGCTATATATAACATTACCCTTAAATAAAAAATAAAAAATCCATGTTGTTAAACAAGGCCCTCAATTCTATAACAGTATAATAAAAATTATTTTTTAAACACCCTTGTGGTTATTGCTTATTTTATTAATTTCTACATCTTCCACCTCACCTATAACCACTCTTATACCCATTTAATAACCAATGTCTCCCAATAGTTAACCACATCTTTTTGGTTATACATTTTCTCTCTCCTACTTTTACCCAACCCCACCACACAATATCTCTCTTAAATCCTATCATATATAACTAATACACTTGGTAATAATCAATTAAAACTAATAATTATTATTAGCATACAATAATTAAATAAAATGACTTATGTTTAAAATTAATGCATTATATTATTTAATTAGTAAGTAATTAGTCGTTAATTAAGAAATACACAATAATTGCAACTTTACTAAATTCGATAATAATAAAAATAGTACATATTCTATCAAATGACAACAATCTTTAAAAGATAAAAACGAACCGTGCTTGAGTACAAATACAATAATTTAATGTTACGATTATACAACTATTAACGCAAATTATTTTGCCTACTGTGAACATCGAATTTGAGCCACATATGTTCAACTAAGTCTTTCTTTAAGGCTTTATGCATAGCTTCATCACGAACACGAGCTCTATTAGACATATAAATTTCCAAACTTGCAATTCGGTTGTTGCTATTTTCGAACTGAAAAGGCTCTTCAGTGTTTCTATTACTTGAAGACGCGTTTGTAGCTTGATCATATTCATTTGGATCGTAATACGTTTTATACGTATCTCTTTCGTCCTCAACGATCATATTGTGCATAATGATACATGCTATCATTATTTTTCCTAACATTGATGTGTCACGAGCTAGCGCAGGATTCCGTATTATTGCAAAACGAGCTTGTAATACTCCAAAAGCACGCTCAACATCCTTTCGTCTAGCTTCTTGTAATTTGGCAAAAATACCTTCTTTTTCATTTTGTGGTAGTGATATTGTAGGAATGAATGCTGCCCATTTAGGATATATGCCATCAGTGAGATAATATCCCATATTGTAATGATGGTCATTCACAACATAGTTAATAGAAGGTGCACGACCTTCAAAAACATCGTTAAACAAAGGGGATCTATCAAGAACGTTAATATCATTACGACTACCTGGTGTCCCAAAAAAAGCATGCTAGATCCAAAGATCATATGATGCCACAGCTTCCAATATTAATGTGGGCTTACCTGGTCTTCCAGAAAACATACCTTTTAATCGAAGTGGACAATTTTTCCACCGCCAATGCATGCAATCAATAGAACCTAGCATACCTGGAAATCCTCGACGTTCACCAATTCTTAGTAGTCTTACTAGATCTTCTTCATTGGGCTTTCTAAGGTATTCATCACTAAAGTAAGAGACAATTCCTCCCACAAAATGTTGTAGTGAATCTCTTGCAAGGGATGCACTAATTCGAATGTAGTCATCTACAGAATCAACAGAGGTGCCATAAGCTATTAGCCTCATAGCAGCTGTGCATTTTTGCAATCCGGAGGCACCAAATCTTCTTGTAGCATCTTGTCTTTGTTGAAAGAAGGGATGACGTTCTTCTAAAGTTTACTTTATTCGGAGAAATATATGTTTGTTCATACGAAATCTCCGACGAAATAACTGTGGGGGAAACACAGGATGGTCAGCAAAGTAGTCATTCCATAAACGATTGTGTCCATCCTCACGATCCCTTGGAACAGGGATCCTTGGTGCCCTTGGAACTTTATTTAACATTTGATATATTTCAATTGGATTGGACATAAAAACTTCATCCATCATTTGGTTAACAAGACGATTGGCTTGCCTTTGTCTTTCGTATCGTTGTGTTTGGCTATTTTCCGAATTGGATGAAGAATTAGAAGAGTTGGAGCTTTCGTCGGATGACATGTTATTAAAAACCAAGTTGATATGAGAATGGAAGATAGAAGTTTTTGTGGATTTCTAAATATCGCCCGCAAATCTCCACATAAAGCCCACAAACTTATATTGAAGTTACAATATTGCCCTTGACCTTAAAAAAAACACAACCTCAATAAAAATCAGAGTACGGGGATGTCGAGGCTCGTGGCGACAAGGTGGTTGGCTCGTGGCGGCAAGGTAGTGGTGGCTCGTGGCGGCAAGGTGGTGGTGGCGCCAGGTCCGGCAGCCACGTCCACCGGCCTGGCGTCTGGGCAGGACGCCCAGCCACGGTGAGTGGCGTTTGGGACAGGCGCCAGTCACTGTGGCTGGGCGTCCTGCCCAGATGCCAGGCCGGTGGACGTGGCTGCCGGACCTGGCGCCACCACCAGCCACGGGCCGTCCTGGCCAGGCGCCCCAGCTGCCTTAAATTTTTTTTTTTAATTTTTTTTTTTTTTTGGAAAATCAGAAAATTTTTCTAATTTTTTTTTAATGTGTTTGATTTTTTTTTAATATTTATTAATTTTATGTGTTATTTTTTTTAAGTCTAGTATATATATTTTTTATAAAATCAAATAAAAAACATAAATTTCCACATCCTAAATCAAAACATAAATTTAATAAACATAATTTTTAAAAAAAAAAGGCAAAAAAAAAAATTAAAAAGTAAGGGCGGCGTCCAAACCAGACGCCAGTGCACTGGTGGTGGCGCCTGGCCTGGACGCCAGTGCACTGGTTGAGGCGCCTGGGCTAGACGCCAGTGCACTGGTTGTGGCGTCTGGCCTGGACGCCAGTGCACTGGTTGTGGCGCCTTGCCTGGACGTCCTTACCATGGTTCCGGCGTCCAAACTAGGCGCCACCTCGTTTTCCGTCGAAGACGACGTATCTCCGGCGACCCTCGCCTCTCCGGCCTCCCTGGGCAACCCAGTACGACTCCACATTTGTTAGATCGAGATTTGTTTGGGTACGATTTTAGAAATGGGCAAAATTGTCAAACCATGTCTAATTTGTGGGCTTTATGTGGAGATTTGCGGGCGATGTTTAACAAATCCCAAGTTTTTTAGGGGAAAAGATGGATGGTTAATCAAGTGAAATGTATCTCATCCATTTTATAGAACAAATGTGTTGGGTATGTAGTCATTTTTATTGTCTTATATGGTGAATTTGATGTCTTGCATGCATGCATTGATTCAGAAAAAAAATTGATAATTTTTTAGTAATGTAGATGCATGCTTTTGTATTGTCAATATCACCAACATTGTTATGTACGTAAAAGCAATATAGTGTTACTATTACCTTTTCAGTGTTAAGTACATCAATGTCTAGTATCTAATATTTGCTTTTCAGTGTTGGGTACATCAATTCTTTTTCAGTGTAATGTAAATCAATTTACATCTTTTGCTGTGAAATATCAAAGTGAATTGATGAGTTTAATCAAATCAATAATAATTATATGTATATAAAGCGTATCGTATAATACGATTTTAATACTAAATTGTTAATAAACTTGTTTTTTTTATATTAATAATAGCATTACAATGTAACATTCATTCATATCCTAAATCAACAACACATTAAAAATTGCGAAATTAAAAATCGAACCTTAGTACATAAAACAGAAAACTAAAAAGCAAATTATTTAAAATTAAGCTAAGAAACATTTAAATTATGATTAACCATACACCTAGTACATCAGTCTGAGGGAAACAACTTCTTCAATAAATTGTTCCTTAGTTCAAGATAGGTTTGGCTTTGAATCGAGGTGTTTAAATAACTCTATATTAATCTTTCTTTGCTTCCTTGCTTCTTTCTCCCTTTCTAGTTGTAACCTTGTAAGTTCCACTTGATTTTCTTATTCCCTTATAAGGTTCATGTTCTGGGCCGTGTCCAACCATTGTTGCCATGCTGCAAGTGGCATATTTGTCATCTTGCTCTTTCCTTTATTTTTGCTAGATTCGTTGCTGGAAGGCAAGCCTGAATACCCAATATCACCATTGGTTGGGGTTTCCGGGTTTGATTGATACGTGATCTCTTTGAGTCACTTCCTTGAGTAGATGTTTTTTGCTTGCATTTTTGAACAATATCTTCACTTGGTTTCCATGCATCATGTTGTATCAAAATGTCCCAAATATGCTTATCTTGAAAGGTTTTAGACATCAATGATGTCTTTGTTTTGTCAGCAGCATATATACTATATGCTGCCTTCATAACATCTTCATCATTGTTCTCACTTCCCCTTCTTGATTCAGCATGAGCATGTGAACCACAAAATTTAGAACATGAAGCATTGATCCTTCTCCAACGGTTTCTAAGTTGCTCCGAACCCCTCATTTTCAACAAATCTTCTCGTGTTACCCCGTCAGTACCTTCTTCGAAACACCTTTGTTTGTATAATCTAACATTATTATACATTTCCTCAATTTTCCTCCAAAAAACATCCCCTTTTTGGTTAGTGTTAGTTTTTTTATTTTGACTAACCTCAAGCCAAGCCTTCACAAGAACCACTTCTTCAGCTTTTGACCAAAACTTTGTTTTTCCATCTTGATTGCCTTCTTCATGACCTCTTTCATTGACTTCAACTTCTGGTTCATTGTCATCATCTGATCCAGCCGAAGTGTATGAGCAATTGAAACTCAGAAGTACACTATCATCACCTTGTGACATAGGAAATTGGGACATAGGAAATGTTGGATCACCTTGAGAGATTTGAATATTCTCAAAAGATGGGATAACATTTTGAGAATATGAATAATTAGGATTTTGTGGTGGTTGAAAAGGGAAAGGAGTAAAAGTACTTGGATTTGAGAAATTGAGATTTTGTGAACCATAATTCGAAAATTGTTGAAAATTTGTATCTAAATCTGAGTTAAGATCAATTGGAACGTTAGAATAGTAAGGTTGAAGATTTGGATTATTTTGGGGTTGTGATGAGTTTTGAGATTTTGTGGGTTTTTTTGTTCTATTAGATTTTGGAATATTCATCTCTACACAATTTGATAATAAAGAGAGAAATATTCACTAAAAAAAAATTGTTTCAAAATACCTCAATATTGGGCTCATTTTATAGAGAAAAATAAAATAGAGCTTTTTTTTTTTTAAAATTGTATTTTTAAAATTATGGCCGTTACAAAATTACAACGGTAATAAAATCAGAGCAAATCTCATCCATTGATTAAATGAATAGGTGTCACAATCTCAAGCAGCCTTGTCATTATATATCACTATCAAAAATAATAAAATATTCCATGACCAATCTACAATAACCGGTTATTCTAGTAACCAGGTTATTGAAAATTTCCCCCAAAAGTTTCTCTCTCTTCATTATTTTATTATTATTCCACTTTCTCTCCTTTAATAACCACCCTCAGTGACCAATGGCTGGGTATGCTATTATATAAACATCAATATTTTTTACCACCCTCTCTCCTAAACTACTACTACCACCACCACCTCCACCTCATCCTCCTCCTCCTCCCTTTTACATACAAACCACCACCATCCATACTACACAAACCACCACAGCAATTCTACCTGATTTCGTGTATCCGGCGACCGGCTAGGCTTCTCAAGGCTTCAATAATGGAGCGGCGACAAGGTTAGTTCTTCTCTTTGATTTCAGAAATTGTGCACTTTTTTCAGTAAATTTGTGCGAATTTTCGTGTGATTTTTGGTCTGGATTTCTAGGGTTAATTGTAGATGAAAGGTTCTTTGTGTTTGGTTTGCGAATTTCTGGTTTAGGGTTGTTAAATTGTTGCGGATTTAGGGATTTAGGGTTTTCAGTCGTTTCGATTATATTGCATGCAAGCTAATGGAGTTGCATTTGAATTAACTGAATTACACTTTAAATTAGTCGAATTAAGTTTATATAATTTGAGTATACTCGAATTTTGGTATTGTTGAAGTTTTCTTGAATTTTTGATGTATCAGAGGTTGAGGTTCGGGCAAAAGGAGGAGTTTAGGTTTGGGTGGCTGGCGTTTGGGAAGTCCGAAAATGATGATGCTCTGATTTTGATGGTGCGTAGGGACTGATTGGTGAGTGGAGAAGGAAGAAGAGGGAGATGCGGTGTATGATAATGAATTGTGGGGTGAAGGTTAAGGGGCTAGCATAGGTAATGCCATTTAGGTGTTGATATGAACTTCCCTCAACAATTTTTTTTAAGCAAGCCACTTAATCTTCAAAATTTGGCACTCATTTGCAGTTGTTTTTTGGCTGATTTACTGAGCTTGAAGCTCTTTTGTTTCGAATGAACTCATATGCAAACGCTAAGAGTTGAATTGGAATGTTGTTAGTGCTTCTCCTAGCTTGTTTACTGAGATATTTTTGTCCTAGTTATTTCATAATATGATCAGCTTTTATCATTTTAGGCTGAATGAAAAAGCTGCTCTAAGCCTTTTTAAGTTTTATTAGTAGCCATAAATTAGGTAAAAGGCAAGGTCTAAACAATAAACTGTTGATCTGAACTTTCTTCAACGATTTGCCATTTTGATAATTAGGTAGGTTGCCCATGCTTATTCACTCATTAATTGAAGGTTATGTAAATGATTGAGCTGCATCATCTTTATTAGAATAAGAGGAGGTTTCATGAGCATTTTTCCAGTTTGTTTGGAGTCTGACCTGCTGTCCTCTAAAGTAGATCTTCACATAGTAAATGTGAAATCTGTAATTGGTACAATGAAATTTGTACAATTTAATTGTAGTATTGTATTCTTTGGTCTGAAGCATTCTTGAACATTTGGTATTTAGGCAACGCAATGAACTCCAAATAGACGATAAACAATCTAATTAGATTAGACTAGATCTGATAAGTGAACTAAACAAGCTCTAGGTCATATAAGTAAAAGACTCTTGACATAGTTTGATTAAGTTAAGGTCATTTTTACATGTCCAAATTTTTTTTTGTGTATATCAAGGGAAGAGAAGATTATTTGAATAAACCACTTTGGGATCATTAAAATACTATAGAATCATCCTTTATTTTGGAATAAAGTATACGTTAATGTAATAAACTTTTTTAATCAATCATAGGACTTTATCTCACTGGTAAATTTAAGGTCATGTAGTCTTAATTTTTACAATATAGTCCAAAACTGACTAATTAGTCTCATTAATCTTAGCAAGCTTAGTTATACACGTATATAACTCAAGTTCAATTATTTTGAAGAATGTAGGTCCAACTTAGCATTAGTCAACCTGAATCATTTAATATTGTCTCATTAAGCTCACTAACCTTAGCCATACATGCGAAAGTTAACTGATGTTAAGTAATCTTAATGTAGGTCTTCTAAATGTTAACCTTTTGTAGTTTTTAATAATATATAAATTTAAAATATTGAGCGTCAAAAGTATGCATTTGCTTTGACTAGAGTGTATGTTTTAAATGTTGTAAGATAGTATCATAGAAAATCTCTTTTTTTTTTTTTTTTTTTTTTTAATTATTGTTAAAATGTTGCAAGATAGTATTATTAAAATACTCTTATGGTTTTTTTTATTAACTCTTTTTATTTTACATGTTGTAGATTTTTTTTCCCAAGGTCCCTGCGTATATTCTTTGGAAAATTTCGGAAAAATTAGCGAATTCTACTACAAGGAAATGCAATTTGAACGATCGATTTTACTCACGGGCAAGATACCCTGAGTTGCAATTTAGCTAGCGTATAATAAACACTAGCTAATTATCGACATCTTTGAACCATTTGTTATTCTTTAATTTCTTTTTTCAATGGTGGAAAAGTGGTCAAATAGACAAATACCCTAATATAATTGAATTACCATAATAATCTTAAAATGGGGTTAAAAGTTACCCTTGGTAAATAAGCATAAAAATATTGAATGGGCAAAATGGGTTAAAATTTACCCTTGGATTTTCCTCTGTGTAATCAAATATTTTTAAAAAGTGTTTGAATTCCCGTGCTTAACTCACTTCTTCTCTATTGCATTCTTTCACTCTCTTCGCTTTCTCCTTTTCTCTCTTCTACAAATGTCATTTTGTACTCAATTTCAACCACCTTTAAATGCCAAAAAGATTCAATACCTAGAGGTATCTTGCTAGTAAACCCATTAATAGCGTCGATAAAACCCTAAGCTCTAAGGTTTCGACAAAAGAAGCTGGGGTTCTAGCAGAAACAGAGGCGTGAAGATCCAAGGTTGGAAAATTTTTGAGAATACACTATTTTTGGTAAGTTTAGTTTAAATTTTGAGAATATACTACTCCCTCCGTCCCTAACTTACATTCCTCCTTTCTATTTTTGGTATTTCAAAATTACATTCCTCCTTTCAATTTTTGGTAAGTTTTTTTTAGTAAATCAACTTTTTTTTTCTGTTTTATATTTAATGCTTTCTCACTCATCCTTACCTAATTTCACTCATAATCCTTGTGTCAAATTACAATAAAAATAATTGGTTAAAAATTTTCAATTAGGAGCATGTAATTGGTCCTTTTTTTTTTGCAAAAGATTAATGACATGTCATAAGTAATAACTAATCTATCTTTGTACTTCCCATTGCATTATCTAATTATTGTTATTTGTCTTATTCTTTCCTCCTTAATTCCCGTGTAAATTTCCAAAGAGGAATGTAATTTAGGGACGGAGGGAGTATATTCGGTAACATTATCTATGTATTATGTTATGTAATCTGTTTTTGGATGGTAGAATTGATGTATATTTGGTGTAGATTTTTTATTTTTTGTTTTTTTTATTAATGTCAGAATCGGTATAAAATTGTATAATGACATTGGTTTGGTTATGTTTTTTCTACTAGTAGTTCAAATTCCAATATGTTAAGACATAGATAAGATCTGCTTCTTATTACAAGTATTATGGAGTAAATAAATTGAAGCATGCAAAAATAACACATACTCCGTAATTGTTTTATTGAAGCATGCAAAAATAACACATACTCGGTTTTTAACTATACATCCGAGAACGGGCGAGAAGAGACTTGCCTTAAGGAAAATAATGAAGGGCATGTTCTCTTCAGCTTAAGTTCAGTTTAGCTCAGCTCAGCTTTGTTAATCAGAACGGACCCTAAGATTGATTGCCACACTTGGCCAACTCTTCAACAAAGAGTTTTTGAGCATGGTCCGGGACAATGACATGGGTTGTATGCCCGTCATGTCAATGCCCAAAGAAGCAATCTTGTGTTTAGGCCTAGTTATTGGACAGGTTGGGTCATAATTGGTTCGCTTCGATTGTTCTCGTTTTTATTAATTATTGGCTGGCCTATCCTATAAATGGATCTATATGTGTTGTAAATTCACTCTAACTGTGTCAGACATGATTTTTAGTCCTTGTCTCTATTTTTTGCCCCATTTAACTTTTCACGGTCTCATGTTGTGCTTAAAACGCATATATCACTAATAAAATATACAATGAAAGTTTAAAAAATAATGATAATTTACAATCTAAGTTTATAAAATTTAACCCGAAAAATGACAATGGCACAAAAATAGAAGAATAGAGGGAGTAAAAGACAAGGCCATTGATTCCACCTAGATAGTAGATATCCTTGATTTGTAGTTCTTTAGCCACTGTCATACCTTCTCTAACCGCAAGCAACTTATGTTTATCTTTTTTTGAGGAAAATAATAAACACTAGAGATTTGAGTATGATCTTAACTTTACCAAAAGAGACGGTTTATTGGAGTTTTTCTTAACTACTACTATTTTTGTAATGTTTTTTTTTTTTTTTGATGCAAACTATTTTTGTAATGTTTTAATTGGACGCCATGATAATACTTAATGATTCAAAGTCTTTTATCTTAAATTGTTTTTTTAATTATACTTTCTCTGTTTTTTTTACTTAACCTGTTTCTTTAATCACGTTTGCCAATGCAAAACTTTAACGATCAATAACTTTAATTTTTCATAAGTAAAAATTATAAAAGTTATATATTATGATAATACTTATTGAGACGAATTTAGAAAGATCTCATATGAATATATTTTTCCTTACATATCATTCACAAAAGACGGTCAAAGAAGAGGTGGTGAATAGTGTAAAAGTCAAAGCGGGTAAAGTAAAAAAGAACGGAGGTCGTATTTGTTTTTCAGATGTTAAAGTTTGCATACAATTAGTTAAGTTTCATATTGGTAAATAAATCAAACAAGAGAGGTCACTAAGGGTTCGATTGATGTTGTTGTGCTTTTCTATTTTTATTTTTCAAGATCATATAATATAGGTCATACTACATATAATCAATTTCAAATTAGTCAAATTTATTAAAATCATCATAATTTTAAAATTTGATAATTGATAAGTGGAAACTTTTTTTTTTTTTAAAGTGATAAACAAACCCTAATATAATGGTTGCGATTAAAAGACATATGTTCACTCCTATCCTTGCTTAGGCTTTTAACATTGAACTCATTTCATTACAAAAAGACTATTAGAGTAACAGAGCATTGATTATTTAAATGCATAAGAATCAGATTGGGCCATGCAATCATTATAAAATAGCACCTAATAATATATATATTCTCTCCGTTTTTAAATACTTGCTTCATTTCTATTGGGATGTACGATGCTAATTTTTTTTTATCAATAATACCTTTAATTATCAATAAGTATAAGTTCTAACAATTAAAAATTAACAATCTATTCATTAGGACGATCCCAACAAGTACCCACAAGACTATATTTTTTCTTATGTATATTTACAAACATTAGTTTAAGTAGGACAAATGAATATTTGCAAAAAGTAAAAATGTAGCAAGTATTTTAAAATAAGGGAGTATAATACAGTTTGTCAAAAAAAAAAAAAAAAAGGGAAATTCTCACTGGTAAACTCCAATTACTTAATTTTACAAGTGGTAAACATTCTTAAAATTTATTATCAATGATAAACCCAAATTATTGGTTACCATTGATAAGTGTTATTTTACTAAAAATTCTAACTATAGTTAGTTTTTATTTATGAATTTTATTAATTAAAAAAAAAAAAAAAAAAACCAAACCCTTCCCCCACCCAACCTAGCCACCCCAACAACCCCTCCCCCCTGCCGGTGACAAGGCCACTGACGGCAACACACGACCTCCCCCGGCCCACCACTGGCCACGACGTCAAGCCTTCCCCACCCCATCTTCTCTCTTTACCCCATCTCAACACCTCCTATTTCCCCATCTCAACGCTCTTCCCCGACGACTCCCCTCCCCTCCCTCCCCTTTTTGCGCGGCCCTTAAACCCCACCCAAAATCAGTTGAAAACCCAAACCCGTTTTCTGGGTTTGGTTTCAAAACCCGCAACTGGTTTGGGTGTTTTTGGTGTTTCGATTCAGCGGGAGATTCAACATGGGTAGGGCGTCGACGGCTGGGGTGGAGTGTTGGGCGCCGGTCGGTCACGGGGAAGGGGTCAGGTGGCTAGGTAGGTGCAGAAAAGGGGTTGATTTTTTGTTTTTTTAAAAAAAACAATTAATTCTAGCCGCTAGTAGCGTCGGTGCTGGCGTGGGGTCATGTGGGTAGGCAGGTGGTTCTGGTGGCTAGGTGGGTGGTGGGTGGCCAAGTGGCTAGGCGAGTGGGTCAGGTGGGTGGGTCAAGTGGCTAGGCGGGTTGGTCAGGTGGCTAGGCGGTTGGATGAGGTGATTAGGTGGGTGGGTCAGGTGGCTAGTTGGGTGGGTCAGGTGGTTCTGGTGGCTAGGTGGGTGGCTAGGCGAGTGGGTCAGGTGGGTGGGTCAAGTGGCTAGGCGGGTTGGTCAGATGGCTAGGCGGTTGGATGAGGTGGTTAGGTGGGTGGGTCAGGTGGCTAGTTGGGTGGGTCAGGTGGCTAGGGCTTGTCAGGTGGCTAGGTGGGTGGGGAAATAAATTAGGGCAAAATAGGAATTTCAGGTTTTTTTTTTTATAAACATTTTTAAATGTTAACCATAGTTAAATAATTAGATTAAATCATTATTAAGGTTACTAATTGATTAGTCATTCTATTTGGGGTTTATCATTGAAAATAAATTTTAAGATTGTTTACCACTTGTAAAATTAAGTAATTGGAGTTCACCAGTGAGAATTTCCCAAAAAAAAAAGGGAGTATAATACAGCAGCTCCCATTTTACTTTTGCATACGTTAGTTGTAAGTAGAATTGGTAAAAGCAGACATGAAATAAAATAGACACAAACAGAAAGGTTAATATCAAGAGTTTTAACACATTAATAAAACAAGTCAACACGAAGCAACACATTTTATATAACAAGACGGGTTAATACTAGGATTCCCAACACATCAATGTTAAGGGCCGTTTGGTTGGGGTTAATAATCAAAGGGAATCGGAATGAACTGATATCATTCCCTTTGTTGTTGTTTGTTTGTCACTTTTTTGATTCCCTTTACCCATTTTTATTTTTGAGTTCACCCATTTTTAGTCTACATTGATTCCCCACCCCCCCTAGACTTTCCCATTCCCTTTCCCTAGCCACCATACCCACCACCGTCTACTAGCCGGAAGTTGCCCAACCACCTCGCCGCTGACCCAGTCTCATCGCCAGAGCCCGCCGCGCTTCCCCCTACATCTCGCCGGAGACCGCGCACCTCCCCCACCTCTCCCCGCAAAAATACCTCCTCTACCCGGAAAATCATCCACCACCCACGCAACAACCCTAGAAACACTATCCCTCCTCCGAAAAACGTCGGTCGACTAGCCCGCTAGGGTTTTGAGGATATGGGGAAGGTCGGCCGACGTTTTTCGGGAGAGGGATAGTGTTTCTAGGGTTGTTGCGTGGGTGGTGGACAATTTTCCGGGATTTTTGCGTGGGTGGTGGACGATTTTCCGGGGAGGGGAGGGACGGCGAGGGGAGGGGGAGGTGCGCCGAGGGATGAAGATTCCCGTCGAGGTTGTGGCTGGGCGGTGGGGTGGCTCGTGGTGGCTGGAAAAGTGAAGAAAGGGGGTTGTGCGGTGGTGGTGGTGATTCCCTTTGTTTTTTGAAAACAAACAACATACTAGTTGGAAAGGGTTTCATTCCATTCTCCTACTTTCCCTTTGTTCATTCCATTCCGATTCCCCTAGGCGAACCAAACGGCCCCTTAATATGACCCAACACACCCATTTTTTTTTTTGGATTTTATATAAATACATTGAATGAGAAAAATATTTTTCCATATAGCACGATACGAACCAGACAGGAAAAAACGGGTTAGTACTAAAGATTTCCAACATATTTAATTCAACGGGTTAACCCTACAAGACATGTTTATTAAATGGGTTAAACCTATTTATTTTCGGACTCAAACACAATACGATTGTCAGCTATAGTTGTAAGGTTTCCTTTTCATTTTATTCGCACAATGCTCTTTCTATCTCTCTTTTCATCATAGGTTCTCATCAAAGGTCACTAATTTTTATTTTATTTTTCAAATTTATCTCATAAAATATCATACAAGTTCCTTATGATGCAATTAAAAAAGATATACGGAAAAAGTATTTAATTTCTTCCTTTAAATATCATCTTGTTTAAATCGTTTCAATGTATATTTTATTAATATCCACTTTTATAATTTACAATGTTGATGATTAGAGATATTAATTGTTAAAAATTTCTAGTAATATATAATTTTTGCTCAATTAAAATTATTTATTGATTGTAGATTTTATTTTAAAATTATTTTCTCTAAAACAATTGGCTTTTTTCTTGGTAGTTAGTTCCAATTCTTTTTTTATTAAAATAAAAAGTTTTTTAAAAAATATAAAAGGTAATTAGTCATTTATTGGATGGTTGTTGGTTCTTATATATGGGTTGGTGGGGGTGGTTTTTGAGAGGGTCAGGCATGGTCTAGGGGAGTGTTGTGGCTGGTCGTAGGTGGTGGGGTTGACTGTTGGTGGGTATGGCTTTGTGGTGTCGTATGGGGTGGCTTAAGAAAGGGTGGTAGGAATGAGTGAAGTGGGGAAACAAGAGGGGAAAGGGAATGGAAAAAAGACCATTAACTAAGGGAATTATAAAGGCCCAAGTACTAACGACTTGTTCAAAAAGTTGTCATAAAATGAACAGTTTAAGATGAAATACTCTGGGTTACAAGTATCGCTCTCATTATTCAAAATGTTTTGCAGATGACCTGACTGAGTTATTAGTCAACCCTCGAGTCCGCAGGCCATCTCCGGCAACTGATTATGAGTTGGAGCTTCGAAGGTATTATTATTATTAATTAATTAATTAATTAATTAATTCTCTTTTATTTAGGATTGCAGCAATTGCGACTATACTCCTTTTGAGTATGGCTTTGATAAGCTTTCTGTTACAGCTTTTCTCCTTTGAAACCCCAGAAGGATTTCCGGTATGTTTTCATTTTTGTTATTCAACGTTTTATTCACTGAGAAAAGAGCGTAACTGTGGATAATTGGATCTCTTTGTTACTTTTGCACAATAATTAAACCCTTGTGTATTTAGTGGTTTTAATGTTTTATAAAGCCCTGTTGTTTTTATATTTTAATGTCTCAACTTCACCCGATGAACATTTGGGATGCGATTCTATGGATTTGTTGAGATGATCGATGTTCATGACATGGTTGCTGTGAGATTGTTGTCATATCTTGATTAAGAAAGTAAATTCTGACGAGGATATGGATGAACACTTTAGAACATAGAGATATTTCATGTCATCATTACTTTTGGCTTTATTTTTTCTTCTTCTATGTCATATCTATATTTTTTGCATTTTGTACCATTGAATCTTAGGCAAATACATACGAGTATATATCTTAACTCTAAAGTATAAAAACAGGTTTTGAATTTTATTATTTTGTTAATTGATGTGTGTTGTTAGGGTTGGACTTACAGAGTAGCCGTGTTTAGTCCCTGTTTCCTATTCGCAGCAGTCTGTTTCTTCCTTGCGAAGAAACATGGTTTCTTTGGTACACCTTGTTCACCTGTTGAGACCTCGGACAGGTAGATTTTGTATATATTAATTATCAAATTAATTAAGTAATAATCTCCTATTTTTATTATAATTAATCAACTTTTTTTTTTTTTGAGGATTAATGCTTTTTCACTGGTTGGTTTATGCATTATTGGCGTGGGACAATTACTTATTCAGATTTTGACCTTTGAAATCCTGGTAATTTTTTTTTTTTTTTTTTTTTTTTTTTTTTTTAGAATTACTATTATTATTTTTATTATTAATAATATTGTTATCACAAATATTAGAAAAAATCCGATGTACAATATCGTTATTGTAAATCGGCTCAACCTTTACCTGAATACTGAGAAAGAATGAGCTAGAGAGAGAGTGAGTAAAACCTCAACCCACTGTTCCGGCTAAACCCCCGCCGCCACCACCGCCGCCTCCACCTCCCCCTTTACCTCCGCCATCACCACCAAAAAACCCGATGTGTGTTGGAACGCGATGGTTACCGGTTTTATACGCCATGGATCATACATTGACGCCTTAAAGACCTTGTACGAAATGAAGGTTGCAAGTCTGAAACCACATAAATCAGTAATGGATGAAGGCTCGCATGTGGTAGTCTGAAACTAGAAATAGCATGAATGAATACTAATAGGAACAACTTTTGTAAGGACTATAATATCAAATTAACCCCAAACTAAGTAACTAACCCCTGTCCAACCAAAATACCTTCCTCCAATCTCTCAATAACCCCCAATCGACTGATGTGCCCCCATTCCTTAACCATGGTTTATTGGGAAACTCCCGATCTTTGTAAAAAAAAGGGTCATTTTTGCGAAAAAAGTCATTTTTGTTAAAAAAAAAAGTCACTTTTGTTATAAAAAAAAAGGTCACTTTAATAGAAAAAGGGTCACTTTTGTGGATAAAAGTTTACTTTTGTGAAAAAAAAGAGGTCACTTTTGTTAAAAAAAAGGGTCACTTTTGTGAAAATATGAGTTACTTTTGTAAAAAAAAAAAGAGCGTCACTTTTGTAAGAAAAAAGGGTCACTTTTCGCAAAATATTCGATGTACAATAAAATTATTGTAAACCGGGGGCATGCATAAGTTTTTGTATTGTTATTTGTAGCACTGTCAAAAACCGAACCGAACTGGTGAAACCGAACTGTTTCAACCGATCCGAATGAGAACTGAACCGATTAAAAACCGATTTTATGAAACCGAAAACCAACCCGAACCGCATGTTAGTAAAACCGAAACTGAACCGATCCGAGTAAACGTTAAACCGTTTAAGAACCGAACCAAATCTAAACCGAACCGTTTCTAACTCGAAACCGTTTAAGCTGGCATAAAAACCATTTACACCGAACCGTTAACAAACTGCAACCCGTTTGCACCGAACCGTTTATAAACCGAACTGATTATAAACCAAACCGCTTATAAACCGAACCGTTTATGAACCGAATCGCTTATAATTCGAACCGTTTACAAACCACTTCCTACTAGGAGTATTTTGAACGACTCGATAAAAATCCGATTTTTTAAAATAAAAAACAGACCCGAACCGTAATTTAGTAAACCTAAAATAAAACTGATCCAAATAATGTTAAATTGTAGAAGAACCGAACTCGTTAACAAACCAAACCAATTATAAATCGAACTAAAATAAAACTGAACTAAAAAAGAACCGAACCGTTTCTAACCGGGAGAAAAACCATTAACAAACCGCAACCCGTCTGCACCGAACCGTTTACTACCCGGACCGTTTACAACCCGAACCGAATTTAAACCGGGATAAAAAACCGTTTACACCGAACCGTTAACAAGCCCAACCCGTTTGCACCGAACCGTTTACTACCCGAACCGAATTTAAACCGTTCAAGAATAAACCGAAACCGAATCGAACCGATAATTATTTAAACTGAACTGAAACCGACCCGTAAGACATTTGAACCGATTTCAAACCGACCCGATTTCAAACCGAACCGAAACTGAACTGTCAAACCGTTTTGACAGTACTAGTTATTTGGTATTGTTCGACAACTGATACATTTTTTTTTGTGTGTGATAGGATTGGTATTATCGAGTTGGGGTACTGATTCTTTGCATGGCGCTTATGTTATACGGCGTCATGAAAATACACCAGTGTTTTTGAGGCTGATGATTAGTTTAGGATACTATTTTTTGTTACGGTTACACCATACTTTTGTGTTCTGTGATAACAATATTACCGCGTACTCTTCATGAATCCATGTAGGGCATGTACCCCTTTTCCATGCTCAGTCACGTATGTATCATGGCTTTTCTATTCTGAAATGCCAGAGGGACAAAATGCAAATGATGACAAAAGCTATAGTTCGAGTAGGCAAATGTGGTCTGTTCATTGAGTTGATACAGAGGCGTCTTCATTCTGATATGTTGTTTCAAAGAGTTAGGAGTGGTCCTTGTTCAACCTTAGGTTCGATCACAATAGCTGCTGATCTATAGGCTATAGCCAATACAGACATAAACAAGATGAAAAAGAAGAGTAGGAGACTATATAAAGAAAGCAGTACACATGATTTTTTTATTATAGGCATTATATATGTTCAAAGGAGGAAGCATCGGTTACAAAAGTAAGCACACTTATATTTCATAAAACCATGTATACAAAAAAATATATTTTAATTTAAGAAAAAAAAACACCCTCCATTCCTATCTAATTGACGTATCAAAATGGGCACGGAGTTTAAAACTTGTTTGAGTGGCGGTGAGAATTATTATAATATAACACTTAAAATCGGTGGGTTTTTTTTTTTTTATATAGTGTGTCAATTATTCAGCACAGACAAAAAAAAATGTTACAATAATTTGAGAACAGAGGGAGTAATAGAATGATAGAATGGCCAAATTCACACTCGGGCATGGACTCACATCCAACACAATAACTTGAGTTAGAATACAACAAATTCATAGAATGGCCAAATTCACACTCCCGGCCACGGACTCATGTCCAACACAAGCACTTGACTTAGAGTAACATATTACTGAACTTATTGATTGATCAATGCTCACAAATTTAATAAAATCAACAGTCTCAATACCATAGAGGGGATACCAAGGCAGGTGTATCAAACTGCCAAACAGCAGCTTGAACTAAAGGTCAGAACAGCTAAACTGCATCAACAATTGCAAACACAATTTACATGCAAAATTGGCCAAATTGCATGATGAACTTCCAATCTAATGCTACTTGGAATGGATTATAGAGACAAATTAGATGAAATATTTCATGTCTCCAGTCCTACCAATGTTTAAAATGTCGGTACAAAGAATATACCTGTACACAATTTTACAGAATTATTCAAAAATAAAGTAAATCCTATGTACAAAAGATGAAGAAAGACCTAGTTTCTGTTGTGTGATAAATTGCTAACAGCTGAAAAGAGGGTATAAAAAAAATCCTCACCAAACTGCATCAGTGAATTTACAAGCTAGTCTATCACTCTATCCTACAAAGAAAAATGAGAAACTGCAATTAATACGCATAAGACCAGCTCCAAGCGCAGGAAAGGCAGGTCAGACTAAAAGCCAAGAACCAGATTTCTTTACATGGGTAATGAAAAAATTAACCCATGCAAGCTACACTGCCTCTGGAGTATGCTGCTATCTCGAATTTGGTCATCAATGTGTACTGGTGTCACCCAAGTTTACAGAATTAAGAAGCACCAGTATACATCAGAAGGGTGGTTCATGAAAAACAGCCACCCTTGTTTACAGAAACAAGTTGCTAAGCCTTACAGGAATCATTTACAGCAAAAAGCTATGACTCTCCTAAGTTATATCTACAGATACAAAGTGACATGCACTAATAGCAGCCATACAAGAGTACATTAAAAGTTACAAGAAAATGATTACACTTCACAAATTTGATTGCAAATCTGTTGCATTTTAGTTATAAACAGTTAATAATATTTTCTCTTAAAAACACATTCTTCAAGCACTATCATAAAAGCTCCTCTGAAAACATGGAAGGCCATTATAGAGGAATTTACTGCAGGCAGCCATAAAACATCTTTCTCTGGATTATCAACATAGGCTGATTCAATCACGAAGCAAAGAGTGCTCCCTGAATAATATGACCAAAATTTTTAAGTCAAAACATGTCAAAGAAACACAGCATACTGTAATCTACCACCAACATTCAGCATGCTTAAGCATTGACCATTGCACCAAATAACTTTTAAGAAGAATTAGAATCATATCCATAAACCAACACTGAACTTGATACAGATCCATACAATAGGAATTATAAAGACCACACATAATTTCATCCACAACCACAAAATGGCAGAAGCACAAAAAAGTGGTATGCACAGATGTTGGACACATGTAGTGGAATTCAGACAACAGCTGAAACTGATGACAAGTTAGCCCACTCATAAGTCATCACAACACGTGATGACTCCCAGACAGTCATGAAGGATTCTGCAGTTTCGCTAAAAGATGTGATATCTTGAGCAAACTGAATGAGACAAAATCATAATAATTTGGCTGGTGAGTTTAGAGACCAACCAGCAAATAAGATTCACACTGCTACACTAATCAAGCTAAATGTTCAAATTCAAAAGTATATTAGACACAGGCATACGGCATCTAGTGATGTCCATTAGTGAGCAAAATGGGAAGGAATAATTTCTTTTCCCTTAATCTGCTTAAGTTAATACCATACTTACTTTTGGTAGTGAAAATCCAGAACCGCTGCAACAAGCAGGAACCTAGAAAGCTTGGCCAAAATCAGGAAACTGCAGTACAGAGGAGACCATGTGATAGCAAACATGAAGATTGATGACGGCCACATTTGACAGTACATACATGTGAAGCTAACCAATTACTCTGATGGAGCACGTCTCCTCTTCCCATAATCAACATCCCTTGACCTGGACCTGTGACCATCTTCTGGAATAGCCCGGGACCTGCTCCTAGATCTTGAAGAAGACTGTCCCCTGTCCCAATCATCCTCATAACCCGAATCACGTTCCTTTCGACGATGATCTCTATAGCCATCCTTGTCTTCTCTATGTCTGCGTTCTCTATCAGATCTATCATAATCTTGCTCTCTCTCATCACGATATCTCCTCTCAGAGTTTCCAGACCAGTCACGCTCAGAAGCTCTTTCCTTTTCTCGAGGGGCAGCATTTGTCCTAGAACTCTTTTCAGGGTTTTCCTCCCCATATCTATAGTCAGAAGCACCATCATCACCACCATAACTTGACTCTCTTGTCTTCTGTCCATGTTCTTCCCCAGCCCATCCACCCATACCAGGATCAGACCACATACCCCCGGGATGTCCTTCCATTCCAGTGCTACCCATCATCCCCATTCCATTTGGTGTCATACCACGGCCAAAAAAGGCAGGGTTAACATGAGGAGCCACACCAGACATACCCATAGGATTAACAGATGGAAAGGGAGGCATCATTCCAGGAAATGCAGGGCCAGAAAAACCTCCATACCCAGCTCCTCGGCCCATATATGATGGATCAAATCCAGGACCCATCATGGCTTGAGGATGCATCATTCCTCCACCTGGACCCCCAAATCCAGGGTTTCCAAGACCTTGCCCAAAATTGCCCATAGCAGCACCACCCATTCCACCAACATTCCCAAGGCCATTCTTGGGGCCCATTGGTCCTCTTCCCCTTGGCCCTGAACCACCAGGACCCCTAGCAGAAGCACCCTGTCCTCCTCTTCCCCATCCACCTCTTCCAAAACCTCTTCCTCCCTCACCAGCTGATAAGTTCATCCCACCACCTCTTCCAGCGCCCTCAGTTACATTTCTTCTTCCCTGAGGCTGAGACTGAGGCTGCTGTGGGTTCTTGCTTGCATAGGCAGCTCCCATCTGCTTCAAAGTTTGGGGTGAAGCAAAAGCCACTACACATGCCCGTCCATTGAAATTGTGTCCATTCATCCCCTCTTTGCATGCAGCAGCAGCAGAAGCATCATAAAACTCAACTTGGCAGTAACCTTTTGATTTTCCACTTGCTCTTTCGTCAAAAAATTTTACGTCCTTGACCTTTCCATAATGAGACAGTACACTTTCAAGCTCTGCATCAGTAGTCCACCAATGTAACTCACCCACAAACAACATGGTTGGACCGTTATCCATTTGTGGCCGGATGATATTGTCATTGACCATCATATGGTCCATATTCATGTTTGCATTTGCCGACATCTGATTATATACAATCCCTTGGGAAGCACTTGGACCCCCACTTACATGATTATTAGCTTTACTAATGTCTGGAACACTACCTGTAGTATTTTGAGCAATAGGAGCCGAACCTTGGAACTCCATATTCCCAGAAGCAGTATCATGAATTCTCTTTTCTGGCCCTAGAGGCCCACTAATGTGATTAGAAGATCCCATTTCTAGTTCTTTAACACCAAGACTTGCATTTTGGAGTCTCCCATCAGAAGCAACCCCAGAGTTTCCCAGATTATGAGATACACCAGCTTCTTGTCTAGGTTGAGGGGTATTAAAGGTTTGAGTTTGGATACCACCATTTCCTACATTATTATTAGGAGGGCCTTGTGCCTCAGACCGATGAAATTGCAAGAAACCCTCTCCAACATTGACCCCATCATAAAGATCCTCATAATCATCATCTTCGCCTATCATCTCCTCGTCTGCTAGAGCTGGAATAGCTCCACTACCCTGATATTGTAGCTTTTGAGCACCTCCATATTCCTCATCACCATAATCTATCTGTTCTTCAGCAGCTGGATCCATCTAAGTCTATTTTATAGTGACAATGCTAAGATGGTATCCTCCCACCTAAATTTTCAAATAAAAATACAGTGAAGATTTAATTAACTATCACAATATTAACTTACTATCCACATAGAAAAGCAATATGTTCTCTCATACGTTCAACGTGACTGAAATCACACATGCGATGCTCTATCTATACCAAACCCATGAAGAACACAAATCACTTGCACTCGTTATACATTAAGGTGAGCTTAAATAAAAAACAAAAGCCACAAATCACTGCTTCACAAGATAAAGAACTAAAAGTCTGATATAGGGAAATGAGGCTCCATGTCAGCAAACTCCACTAGTATCAGCACAAGGTAAATCAGAAAAGTAAGTCATGCATTTCAATTCGGCATATATTCCTTTTCTAGCAATCATATGCTTTAAAGCAAATCAGAAAACCAGTCGACCATTCATGGCCAGTTGAGTAATTCAATCCCACATATCATACAAACAAACAAGCATGTGTGATTGTGTGAAAATATCTTAATAAAGGAGCAAAATCAAGCAAATCCAACTCTTAAATCATCA